CGCTCCTCTTCCAGCAGGCAAGGAAGGCGGCGAGCGAGAAGCGAGGCCAGCGCCGGGGCTGCTATGCACAGCTAAGCTCCCGCCGCGGCCATCCCTCCCTATTGCACCGGGGCCCCCCTCCCTCACGCTGCGCTCGCCGCCTTTCGGGGTGCCTCCCCTCGCGCGGGCTGCTGCTGGCGGCTGTCCACTCCTCTCAGCATCCCCGGTACGATCAACTTTAGCCGCGGAGGGAACCGCTGAGAGAGAGAGGCGAAGCAGCAGCAGCAGGCGGCGGCGGCGGGTCTTGTTTTTAACCCGGGGGGGTTGTTCCGAGGATGGAACCCGGCGCGTATGGAGCGGGCAAAGCCGGAGGCGCCTTTGACCCTCAGACCTTCATCCGTCAACCTCACACGATCCTCCGGATGGTCTCTTGGGTAAGGAGGGCGCCTCGCCGGTGTCGCGGGGTTGCGAATTGCGAGGGCAAGTTTGTGGGTTCAGCGTCGGTGCACCCAAGCACACACGTAAATATGCATACATGATTTGCCCCGAACACGTGGAAAAGCGCTGCGGCCCGCCGGACCATTCGGTTCCAAGGAGCTTTGGGGACGGAAGCTCCGGGCAGGGGGGGGGACGCTTCTCAAGCTACGGCCCCAAGGCGGGAGCTGGGGGGGGGCGCCGGCTGGCATGCGGTCTCTGGCTAGCGCCTTCTTGCTTGGCTGTGGTGAGGGCTGAGCCCCCCAAGGGCGAGCCGGGGGCTGACAGTTCTCCGGGTCTGAAGGGAAAGGAATGGCCTTCCCAGCCATGGGTGTGCGTGAGAAGGGAAGAAGCGCACAGGAGAGAAATAGGATTAGGAGTGCCCAGCGTTGGGTTGCACGAGAAGGGCCGCCGGCTGGTTTCTTGGCAGGTCCCTTGCCGTGGGGGGAGAATGCAGCTTGTCGCTTCCCCCCCCCCCGCCACCTCTCCGTCCCTTCCTTCCGAGGAGGAAGGTGAATTTGGCGAGGGAAGGGTAATGCCGTCCAGGTTTGGGGGTGGGAGGGAAGGAGAAGAAAACACACAGCCAGCGACGCCTTCGCCAAAGTGACCTCTAAGATGGGAGCGAGGCGGTGTCATGGCTTACGGCCACCCGGGCTCGGGTTGCTGCTTGCTTTCCCCTGCCCGTGCTTCTGGTGGGGCACCGTCTCCAGCCGGGAGTGGTTGCGGCGAAGGGGCAAACTGGTGGGGAGTGTGTGGCTGACGGTGGGGAGGCCGGAAGGAGAACCAGCCTGGGAGGTGGAATGGGAAAGAGGAGACAAAATGGCATGGCCGTTCCTCTCCCCCCCCCCCCGGGGTCCTCCCCNCTGGAATGACCACAGTGATGGTTTTCCTTCTTCTGTCTTTAAAGAAAGTAATTAGAAACAGTTTCCCTGCATCTTTATTTTGGGTCCTCTCTTCTCTTTTGCTTCTTCCCCCACCGAGAGCCTGCACTTTCTTTCCCATTTAAAGGGAAAATGGTTTAACCGGTTTTCCTTAGCCTCTAAGCCAATGCTGTTATTAATTATATTAAAAGCATACAGGAAGAAAAGGGAGAGAATGAGTTCTGCATGAGATGAGTGGTGAGGTGTTAACACCAGGAGGGGAGGCTGGAGGAGGGAATTGCAAAAGTGATTCAGAATCACCTGCCCTTTCCTTTTGGGTATCTTTTAGTTTTACTGATACTTTTTGAATGTTTGCAGGAGAAATAACTTAAGGTGCCAGGTAAAAATAAGCAATGAAAAGATACTTTTCTCATTTAAATATTTCTGTCCCCACTTTAACATGTTATGATTTTTATGTAAGTGCATTTGTTTGTGTGTGAGGGAGGAAGTGTGGGAATTAAGGGGCTCAGTCAGCAAGTGGGGAAGGTTATTTTTCTGGTACCTCCCCCTCCTCCTTGGAATGACTGGAATGGGGGGAGGTCACTTTATCTTGTGACACTTTAGCCATGGCTGCCTCTGTGCTTGTAGCATATGCAAGAAGGTCATTGGGATTAAGACAGCAAGCTGCAAACACAAAGCTAGAGAGATTTGCCTCCTGTGGGAGTTGCAGGGAGAGTGGAGGCGGAGGGCATGGGGAGGTGGAACAGCTAATGGAAATGAGATGATGCCTCTCCCAGTAGACCAGAACAGATCTAATGGAGGCCTCTGCCTGCCTGCAAGGGAAAGGGCAATGCTCGGCCAGCCTGTTTTCTACCCATTGGAGCCATTACATTGAACTCAGAAGGATGTGGAAGCTGCCTTGTACCAGCTTAAGCCTTTTCTCCATTGAGCTCCACATTTATCATTTTGTCTAGCAGAGGCTTCACAGAGTTTCAGGGAGTTTCCCACAACTCTTGTTTGGTTGAGTCCTTGGGCCTTTTGCATGTAACACTTACACTCTTAACACTGAGAAATGACCTCACCTCTAAAGAGTTTGACTCTTGTAAAGCAGGCACATTTCCACTATTGCATTTACCCTCCTAACTTGATAACCTCCAGATATTTTTGATTCCTAACCAACATAATAGTGGGACTTGGGATAATAGGAATTGTAATTTAGTGTCTCCAATAGATGCCATGTTGGGGAAGGCTAACCATTTTTAAAACTTTACTGTGTTGCTTCGCTAGATATGATTTGGGGATATGTTTAGCAGGAAAGTAAGGGAAGGGCAGAGAATAACATTAGTGTAGCTAACATGGCATTGCCTTGGAAAGACTGAAGATGAAATTCATGTAGTTAGTCTGTCTGTTCAGGTTTCTTTTACAATATACAGTAGTTTGCTATTGTTCTTACTAGAGAGTGAAAGACATGTAGAAAGAATGTCCTGGATTACATTTGCTACTGAAATTCGACTTGGTGGGGTGGGGGTGGGGAAGAACCTTTGGTTGCACAAACCCTTGAGTGAGGCAAAGCAGCAGAGAACACAGGTGATGATGCAGCACTGGTCAATCATGATTGACAAGATGTGATGCTAGATAGATGCTTCTGTCCTTGATCATCTGGGACAAAACGTTCTTCCCTTTCAGCCTCTGTCTTCATTCTGTTACTGCAGGGCTTCCCAAGTATAGGAAATTGAGGGACGGTTTCTGCAGTATGTTGCTTTCTCTTTCATAATACTGCTTTATTGGCTCTCCTTAGGAAATAAGACAGCTTCTCAGCTGCAGAATATTATCCTGCATCCAATTATCTCCCTCCTTCCTGCCTTAGATGTGCTTCTGTTTCCTAGAGCCATCAACTGCCTTCTATACCTTGACCTTGGAAGTGACTTTGATGCTTTTCTGTTTCATAATCTTCCTTTGTTTGACAAACATGAGAGTTACAGAATAGTGAAAATACTTTCAAGCCATTGCTATACATGCTTCACATGAAAGCACATCTCTTTCATGCAGTTCAGGGGGGTTTAACTCCCAAGCACATGCAAATAGGACTCAAGTCTTGGAACCAGAGCATTAGTTTAAAGGATCAAACTAGGAGTATGGATTGCTAGAGAACGACCTATTTCCTTTCATATTTGGGTTTTCTTATCTTCTCTCCCTTGTGGTATTATATCAGTCTTTGCATCTCTTTCCTGCTTTTGCTTCTATGCTGTTGACATTTAGTGAAAAAAACAACTACCACTAATTTTTTTTTGGGAGAGGATTTGGTTCCAGGTAAATGTGCATAGAAGCTGTAAATGTCCTGAACCCTTTCATATTTTTATTGAATCATTAAAAATGTTTAGGATAATAAGATCAATTAAAAAATACAGCTCCTATTTCCATCCAGTTTTATATGTCCAACAGCTGAGGTGCTGAATACAGTATTGTTGTGTTTTGGTATATTGCACTGATGGTGTACACAGAATTTCAGGAAATTTTCACCTACCAGGCTTCCAACACCAGTTCGTGTGCTTTGGGAAAGTGATGCAAATATTTTATAATGGAGGGTTTGCAATTCTTGAATAAAATTTTCGCAGACAAGATCTTAAGGGCTAAGTCTAAAGTTAGTCTTAGTCAGAGGAGACCTGTAGAAATGAATGAAATCTGTTAGCCAACACTAATGGAAATCTCAGTGATTTTTATTCGGTTGACTCTATTTGGGACCAATATATTTATTTGCTTTTAACCTGCATCATCTTCACAGGAATTCTGTGAGCCTAAACATACAAATGAAAGGTCTGCTGCTGTAAAGATTTCTATTGTGTCCTTTAGGGAAAACCACCTTTTTTCATTTTAGGCAGATTGCCCAGCTGCGGTCCTTCCTTGATGTTGGGGCACTCACCACCTTGGTACATGCGCTCGTAATCTCAAGATTAGACTACTGTAATGCGCTCTACGTGGGGCTACCTTTGAGGCTGCTGCGGAAACTGCAGGTGGTGCAGAATGCGGCGGCCAGATTACTCAGTGGAGTGAGAAAATACTAACATATTTCACCCACTCTGGCTGCATTGCATTGGCTGCCCATCCGATTCCGCATCGACTTCAAAGTGTTGATGCTCACATATAAAGCCCTAAACGGTTTAGGACCTCGATACTTGGCGGAACGCCTTCTCCCGCCAAGATCTACCC